AATAAAATATCAGGTTAAACAATCAGTTCTCGGTTCAATATCCACCTAAACATGCATTGGACATAAAGTAACCGTAACACTGTTCTATCTGTCATTATGGAACTATTGACCCTAGGAACAACAAGCTCTGTTACCCGAATTCCTCCTTAGTTTGTCACTGCTGAAAAAACTCTTCGGTAGATACTAACCCTTGAACAACTAGAACAAGCTCTCTAATTAATTCAATGGCAGCCTAAGAATTAGGAGAATAGATCAATCTAAGCAACAATCACGCAAGCTGGATTATTTAACTTGGTTATGTATCAAGACAATGAACGAAAACTTGTTCATAATAGCTATCATCATGCGTCACTCATTGAATAGAAAAAGGACGATTACGTATCACAATTCCTAATTCTAATAGGTAAATTCTGATTAAACAATTTAGCAGGCCAAAACTAAATCACTCAAACAAGAATCACAGACAATTAAATCAGAATAACATAAACAATTCTAATAAAAACGAGATTGAGAACAACGTTACTGAAGTTAAGTTACACCAATGGCATGAAATTAGGCTTCAAAATCCCCTTGAACTGAAGAAGGAAATTAGCCGCATCTTGATCTAGAAAGCAAAACTCTGAAAATTAAAACTCTACCGTCTCCTCCCCATTTCACCTAAAACCTTCTAATTAAATAACATGTGTTTTCCTTAATTCTTCCCCAAGAATCACGGAATTTCTTTCCTAGACGTTTCCTAGAAGATAGACTTCCAGATTTGACAAATCTTATTAGATAGGATTCCAGAATTCGTCTCCAGCTTGCACCAGGATTCTCGCAATGTAAAAGATATTTTCTGGGCTCGCTTCATAAAAATTGTATCCAGGATGTTTAGATGAATCTGGGCTTTTAAATCACCCGCTTTCGATATCTGACGCTCCAGTTAGGCCCATTCGAAGATCCAATACTCAGCTAGAATCCTTCTGCGACTAGGATTCCAGGTCCAGTTTTGCAAAAACTACTGAGAACCAAAAGAACTCGGATTCTCACCCATAATACCTTCCTGAAAAGCTTGATTCGTTACTTTAATTTCTCTGAAGAATACTTTTGCAATAAGGAATCTAGCTCCCTGAAAAACCTGAAAACGCAGCACTGGTCAGAATAACAACAATTCTGGAATTTCCTAATCTTTTATCACTTATTTCCTAAAGTCTATCCAACTATGCCAAACTCAAAAAATAAACTCTAATAAACTAAATAGGCATAAAACATAACAAAAAACATTATGGAAGGAATAAAAATATCTAAATTACATCTTATCAGCTGCAAATTAGCTGCTGCAACAACGTCGGGATTGATATCGAACACCAGTGGGAAGACTAGGATTCAGATGAGTGGATGGGCTTAGAAACAGAGAGGATGACGCTAAGGAAGACAAGAGATGAAGAATGAGCACCTGTTTAGTTTTCATTACTTTTATGTTTAGTAGTTGTTTTTGTTTTTTTTTTATTTTGAACATTGAACTCCGTTGATATTTTGTTTGGATTTGTGAGTTGTTTAGTTGTTTCATTTTTGTTTTAAATTCTAGTTGATGTAAAGACGAGATAGGGTTGTAATACTTTCATATTAGTCAGTGGATTTTTCTAACATAGTGGACACCACAGTTTCAATTGTTTTACAGATGTGGTGATAAAAAGCTGAGGACCGGGTGTGCACAATGTTGAGCGGAATTTCAACTTCACGGATTAATCAGGAACTATCTCGCACCTTTCTCTATTTTGTTTCATTCTTATTTATGTATAATGTGACATTGGGAAATGTCATCTTTAGTTTGGGGGTAGGAATTTGAAAAAAATTTGATTTGTTTCAGTTAAGTTTGTGTTTTTTTTGTGGTTGCCAATGATGAATTGCATAAGTCCATGATGAGACTAGGATTGTTGGGATGTTATTGTTGAAAAATGTTAAGCATTGCTTCAAGTTTTTGTTTATGACTAGATTTTGATTGAGGTTGTTGGTGGTTCAACCATTTCATTATTTTGGCATGCTTAGTTCATTTTATGTGGTTAGGTAAAGTTTGATAATGTTGGTGGATTCTAGAACCTAGTGAGAAGTGCTTGAGGCGAAATCTTAGGAATAGACATGTGATTTAATGATTTAGGCATTTTTCGGAACGTTGAGCCTTTCTAGCAACCCACGAGTGATATTGCCCCTAGTCACACTTGAGCCTTATGAGATTATCATTGTGTCTTGTTTTTCTTACAAAAAAAAAAAAAAAATTCCAATCCAACTACTCTAAACACATAATCGTACCATAGGGAATCTGGGCCTAATGCAAACACAAAGAAAGTGAAGAGTGGTGCGATCATTGAAGAAGAGTTGGGGGTTGTGAGAAGGGCGATAAGAATAAGAGAGTTAATTAACCTCAATTTGATTGCTTAGTAAAAAAATAATAATAATAATAATAAATTTGTTCTTTGGTTCAATTCAAAATCAAAATAAGGAATGCATAAGTTTGAGGGGTGTAAATGGGTTGATACTTTGATTGGTAGTTGAGAAGAAGTGCAGTTTGATGTGACTTGTAGTGTTGATGAGGAAAACCAAGTTCTCTTACTTTGTTATCCTATCCTTTTTCTTGAAACCCACTACCCGAGCCAATGTTACAAGCTTGCAAAGACCTTTGATCCTTAGCGATTCTAGTCCACATTAGCGGAGAGTAGTTCGGAATTTAGGCATAGGAGTCCGCCACCATTTGATAAACTTTCATTTCTGATAAATAATCGGGAAGTTGGAATGTGGATTGAAATAGGGATCACTACTCGGTGGACCGATTGAGAAAGACTGTCGATATAGCTTATAGCTTCTTAGAGTGTTGAACATTTTCTGATAATAATTTTTTAACAACCTTGAGACTTGTGAAATTTCGAGGAAATTCGTATGTGAGTTGAGTCTAAGTTGTGTTTGTTCATTTTTCAGTTTTGTTGTGTTGTGTTTTGTGTTTTGGTTGTTTATTGTTTTTCTTTCATGAGTCCTTGCTCGGGGACGGAGCGTGTCTTTAGTTTGGGGGTATTTGATAATCCGTGGATTATACTATTTTGATTAGACTTTTTAGTCGGTTTCAGATACTTTTTAGTTTAGTTTGACCTGAATGGCTACTAATTCTTATATTTTGTGTTTCAGGCTAAATGGACATTTATGCAATTAAGGAGCGAATTGGAGTTTTGAGTTCAGAAGGAGCGGATCTAGAAGTTGGAAAGTTCTGAAGCAGAATGGATGCCACGATGAAGCTTGTTCAATGAGAAAAGTGTCAAAGATCGAAGATTCAAGCAAAGGAGCAAGTGGAGGGCAATTCGTAATTTCAAAATCCACATGAGGTTGCCGCGGCGAAGAGAGTTGCGCACGTAGGTTATGTCACTTCGTCGCCGCGGCGAAGTCTGGGAATTTCAAAAATGTACAGTTTCATTAGGCATTTGTTTTTAGGTTTTTGGCTGAATATAAAAGAGAAATTAGTCATTTTATTAGGGAGTTGTTTTTCATTTAGAGAGCAGCTTTTTACATTGTTTAGATTAGTTTGGGCAAACTTTGATTGCAAAGAGATTAAACCAGCGAATTCTTCATTGGGGAGATTTTCTTATCTTTTCTCTTGTTTTCATTATGTTGAACTTCGAATTTTTTTCATTTCTTTTATTGGTATTGTTGATTTAGCCATGAACTAACCTATTTGGGTTAGGGTTTGTGTGTAGTTCGGATTCTAATGGGTTAAGTAATTGATGATTCTATTTCATATGATTTTGCTTAGATTGTGTGATTATTCTGAAATTATTGTTTTTATGTGAGAGCATGATGAGATTGAGAAAAATTCATGTTAAACTTCTGGGTAATCAGCATTGTAGTATTAAATGCTAGAGATAGATTTAAGAATCAATGAAATCAATTTAGGATTCTTGTGCTTAATGAACTTGAACTATTAATCTTATTTTGTTGGGTGGAAGTTTATAGGAAGACTAAGGAATATAGCCTGAGAAGGTATTTTATACCTTAGAGAGTTCGATTTACAATAATGCATGTGAATATGGAATTAGTATAATCTTATGGTTAACCCAGAGAGTTCGAATGAAGTCAAAACCTACCCGTTTGTTTTGAATTGCTTTTATTCGTGTCTTAAATTTTGCTTTCATCATTTAGTTTTGAACAATTAGAAATTTTGTTTTAGTTTTTAAGTTTAATTTGTCTCCCTTCAATCCAAACCATTCGATTGCTCCAACTTGAAAACAGTAGAAAAACTTAGTGCTTAGCCATCAATCCTCGTGGGAATGATACTCACTCATCATTTTATTACTTGTGCGACTAGTATACTTGCTACATATTGCATGTTGTAGTAAACACGCATCAAGCCCGAATAGGATCATTACTTCCACCTGAAGGAAGGAAACCTCAGTTTGCATAGCTTTATATTTAGACACAGAGTATGAAACCAGTCATAGATTAAATTCTGTACGAGGTAATACAGTCGATGCTACTATTGATAGGGAATTAGTACAGGAATTGCAATTAATATTTGATGCGAAAAATGAATTGGTTAAAAGTTTCATTCTGTTAGGGACCATATCCATTGGAATGATATTAGAGATGTGCATCTGCAATTAAAAATGAAAAGGGAAAAGGATGGAAGACAATACAATTTGCCAACTACATCTAAAATTGCGGGTTTAATTGTCGGTGATATTGGAATTTCAGAAACTGGAAAAGATTTCATTGTTCATCATTCGAAAAAATGTCTTCAAAGAATTTCTGACTTGCATCCAAGCTTTATGGCATTAAGTTTTCTAATATTATTTTCGTATGGAGAAGATGGATACGGAATCAACATTAACCATAAAGACTTTCCTAACAAAAAAATTTCAAAGAGAAACAGGCTAAACATGAGAGAATATTATGCATTTTGATTGCAGTATAGATTATGTGAAGGGCATACTCTATTGAAATCAAGTAGATTATTGGAGCAATATATTGTGGATGCATATATGGCTGTTGAAGAGGGAAGATTTCATTGGATTAGAAACAATCAGAAAAAATTGAGGAGTGATTTGTACAATGGGTTGATGGATGCCATTTCAAAGGATGATGTTAATGCACAACATCTAGAGAAATCAACGTTGTTCCCTTCGTCTCACACTAGCAGTCCCCGATATCATGTTCAGAATTATCAAGATGCAATGGCGATTTTCAGATGTTATGGATATCCAGATATTTTTCTGACGTTCACCAGTAATCCCAAGTGGCCGAAGATACAATATCTACAGAATCCTATTAGACAATCTGATCAAGAAAGTATAATAACTGCAGTTTGCAGAGTTTTTGAGATCAAATTGCTTGAGCTAATGCGAGATATAAAAAAAGGTGAAAATTTTGGTGAAAAAGTGGCAAGTAAGTATTCCAATGAATAATATTTATACTTTTGTTACAAATTGTAGTATATTGATAATTTATGATATGAAATTATGTTATACCAACTATTGTTGAAAACGTTATAATTGTTTCTGTCAGTTATCTACACTATTGAGTTCCAAAAGAGAGGCCTCCCACATGCTCATATATTGGTTTTTCTACATTCCCAATATAAGAATCCTTTGGTATCCAAAATACATGAAATAGTTTCTGCTGAAATTCCAAATAAGGAAACTGATGGTGTTGCCTTTTCAGTTGTGGAGAATCACATGATCCACGGTCTTTGCGGTGATGTTAACAAGAATTCACCATGTATGGAGAGAGGAAGATGTAAAAAACATTTTCCGAAGAAATTTGTCAATGAAACATATGTGGATGACAACGGATACCCAATGTATAGAAGACGGAATAATGGAGCATTTGTTCAGAAAAAGGGTATCAAACTGGATAACCGTTTTGTTGTTTCTTATAATAGGAATCTTTTGGTTAAGTTTGATGCTCACATAAATATTGAGATATGTAATCAACATAGATCAATCAAGTATCTATTCAAGTATGTCGACAAAGGGCCGGACAGAGCGAGAGTTTCTATGGAAATTGAAAACAATGGTCAACGGAACAATCAATATGAGATTTTAGAAGACAAAGATGAAATAAAGGCATATATGGACTGCAGGTATGTACAAATATGTCAAATATAATGTTTTTATATTGTTCGTTGATATTTGTTATAAATACAATATTAAGTAATTCAATCAAAAACATTATAGATATATCTCTTCTATGGAAGCTTGCTAGAGGATATTTAAGTTTGACATGTATTACCAAGAACCAGCTATTGAAAGATTGCCATTCCACTTAGAGAACGAACAAACAATTGTTTTCGATCCAAGTAAGTGTTTGGTTCAACTTTTGGAAAGCAAGATTGTTACGCAAATGAAATTGACTAAATGGATGAAATGTAATCAACGATACCATTCTGCAAGATCATTGACTTATCTTGATTTTTCGAGCGAATGGGTTTGGAAGGACACAGAAAGACAATGGTCCCCATGACAAAAATCAAGGTGTATTGACAGGGTGTATTTTGCATTTCCAGGTAGTGGTGAGAAATATTATTTGTGAATGCTCTTGAACTTAGTAAAAGGAGCAACATCATTTGAGGATATTTGAACTGTCAACGGAGAAATATTCCCTACATTCAAAGATGCATGTTATGCATTAGGATTGCTCGATGATGATAAAGAGTGGAATGATTGCTTGGATGAAGCATCAACGTGGGCTACCGGAAGACAATTAATACAGCTCATTGTAACTATTCTTGTATATAATGAAGTGGTTAGTCCAAGAGACTTGTGGAGAGAAAATGCAGAAAGCCTATCTGAAGACATTCCCTACATTCTTAAACAGAAAATGTGGATGATAGAATTGAGATGCACTGAGGAACAGATTCACAATTATGCATTGTTCGAGATTGATGAGCTCATGAAAAAGGGAGGAAAATCCTTGGCCGATTTCCCTAGAATGCTAATTCCTGATTGTTCCATTTTTTAGAATTCACAGAATAGATTAATTACTGAAGAATTAGATTATGATCGATATCGACAGCATGAAAACAGTGCACAGTGATTTATACAAGGGTCTCAACAATGGCCAGAGACATGTATATGATTCGATCCTTGATTCTGTCAACAACTAAAGTGGAACAGCATTTTTTGTTTACGGACATGGTGGAACAAGCAAAACCTTCCTATGGTCAACAATCATGGCCAAATTAAGATCTGAGGGTAAAATTGTACTGGCCATAGCTGTTCAAGTAGGTGCCCTAGAGCCAATCAATTATTGTAAAATTGACTCTGTAATATATGTTTATTTATCAATAAAAGGCATAATCTACTATATCACGTAAATCATATTATATGTATTGATATATGTCCTTAGGATGGTAGAACCGCAATGAGGTATCAAGTGTTTCAAATCTTGATAGTGAGAACCCTATGATCAAATATGGTGGCTATTCTAGAAACGTCCGTAGCCCCAGTATTATTCTGACCAAAGACACAAATAATACGGTAAAGCTATGATAGTGTTGAACGACCCTATCGAAAGGCAGTGACTAGTCTCACTTGTCAAGGTTGTTTGCCGACAACCTGGTGCAACGCTGTAACGCCCACATCGAGGTACGTAGCTTTACGTATTCCCTCATACCCTTAGTTGAATTTTGTTAAAGGTATCTTGAACAAGTGTGAAGAAAATGCCTTAAAATTTCATTAGGGGTGAAATGGTATTTTCACTCATAATTGTTAGTAAACGGTCCCGTATACGCAATGGAAACAAAAATAAATAATATAACATGATCGTTTACATGAGCCAAGATCAAGGGTATAATTTTACAATTTTATCATAATAAGAATCTGCAGAAATATTAAACGTGAGTTAAAAGAAACAAACGCACGTTGGAGGCTCCTCCAAATTTCTCGATGAATGTTTTGCTACCGATCAAGTGTAGGATCGAACCCACGTAGTCCACACGAAGACAATCTCAATAGAACCAAAGAGGGATTTGCTAGATCCTCTTTGGCTTCAAGATTAAGAAGAAAGCAAATCAATTGAATTGATTTTTGAGCTTAAAGTGTTTATGCCGTGGGAGTGTATTACCAAAAGGGGCTGCTGTGTTTTTTCAAAGAAAAAATCTGTCACATTTAATTAACACATTTTTCTTTTTATAGTACATCAATTTGCCCTAATCCCATATGGAATAGGCTTGGGCTCCAACCCAAACGCCCCATGTTGCCAAACACTCCCAATTTGATACTTTTATTTTTCCATCATTATCTCAATTAAAATCAATTAATATATATTAACATTTAACAATAATGATAATATATTTAAATATGTGCGAACACACATTTAAAAGTAATTTCATTTATTTAATTTTTAACAAATTAAATAAAGGCTACGACCTTACCAAATTTAATTGCATAGTGAAATTACCAAAATACCCTTTCGCCTTAAAAGACGAAAACGCCCTTCTTTCTTCTTGGATCTTAAATTATCTTCTATGTGTGTGACCCATAGGCTCCTCATCATATCGGCAGTGTATAGTATCACGATTAACACCAATTAATCGTCTCACTAATGAACAGACCAAGATTGGCCCCTAGCAAGGCATCATGGCCACCCGATAGATTCAGATTCAGCAAAGCAGCTACCTGTTAGTGATATGGTTACCGTGCAATTCGATCTTTTTATCATATGTTATCTCGACGAGACGAAGGCATAGAAATAGTGTCAACCTTCGGTTACTCTCGATATTATGTATTCAATTTCTGGACCAATGACCCGTATTATAAACTGGATAGAGCAACAACTCAATCCCACTGTGGCCACAGTTTTAACGTCATTGCCATATACTAAATTACGCCGTGAGATAACTTCTCCCGTACCCGGGAGTGATGAATCCTCTGTAAATCCACCATAGTCTTGATACACTCCTTGATGCAGGCAATCACCACCATATTGATAGCTCTGAAAAGAACTGCGTTAGGCTAGTGTCAAACTACACCAATCGGTGCACAAGGCGCTCTGGTGATCTCAAGTCTAAGGATCACATGCACCACCATTCGTTAGAGGATTTATTCCATAGACACTGGGGTTACCATCCATATGGAATCCTCTGGTGGGTCAGTCCAGTGAACTTGCTACGGTGTAATCGCCTACAGCAAGCACCCATGTGTTGCACCAGGTTGTCACCAAACAACCTTGACAAGTGAGATCANAAAGCAAAATCATATGAAATTAATAATCATCAACTCTCTAACCCATTAGAATCTGAACTACATCAAAACCCTAACCCAAAATAGGTTAGTTCATGGCTAAATCAATAAAACAATTAAAAGAAACGAAAAATCCCAAGTTCAACATCATGGACACAAGAGAAAAGGAAAAGAATCTTCCCAATTGATGAATCCACTGATTTCACCTCAAATCTTCACACTTTGTTAATCCAAAAATCACTCAAAAATCAATCTAAGAAAATGTAAAAACTGCTCTTTTTCTCTCTACGAACGTCTTAAACAAAAAGACTAAGTATTTCTTTTATACCTCGCCTAAAATCTTGCAACTTAGCCTAAAAACGAAACTGTGTGTTTTACAAAAAGTGGAGTACGCAGACTTCGTCGCGGCAACAAAAAAGCTGAATCTGGTGCGTGTCTGGCCCATTTTGCTGCGGCGAAGCTTCCTGAAGAATTTTGAATTTCCAAAATTGCCCTCTGCTTGCTTCTGAGTCCAAAAACTCCAAATCTGCCTTTATTCTCAAAATTTCCATTTTATTCTGAAACACGAAATGTAAGGAATTAAGTAGCAATTTAGGCAAAAATAGACTAAGAAGTATCTAAAATCTGACCTAAAAGCTTAAATAAACTAGCATAATCCTCGGATTATCATAAGCGAGCCAATAAGGGGCGTTTGAAGGTTGTCTTCCAACTTGGAGATTGGGTTTGGGTGCACATGCGTAAGGAGAGGTTTCCCACACAAAGGAAATCAAAATTGCAGCCTTGAGGAGATGGACAGAAAGAGGCTTTGCAAGGCTTGATCATGGAAGTGCAATACAAAGAGAATGTACTAGAAGACTCTAAGACAAAATTCAGAGATTTCAAAGCTTCACCAAGGATGGCCTATTATCTTTTTATGCAAGGGGTAGATTCGGAAGATCAAGTTGCATGCAAGGATTAATTTAGGAATTAATTTTCGTTTATTTAATCTTGTGCTTTTTTTATGTTTCAATTATCATTAGTTTCTTTAGTCTTTTATTTATTTAAGGTTTATTTAGGCCCAATTCGCTTGTACTTAGGCTCAACCCGTTTTTCAATTAGCTAGGGTTTTCTTTTAGAGTTTGTTGCTTACAAAAAGGAGTAGCCGTGTTATTTTTTAGGGGACAGATTATTATCAATTGAAGCTTATTTCAGGAAGCTATTTCCTTTGCCTTCTTGTGTTCTTGATTGAATGCTTGAATCTCGACTTATAAAACGGAGTGATCAACCTTTGTGGTGTCTCAAGTGTTGGAGTAGGTGCCCTAGAGCCAATCAATTATTGTAGAATTGACTCTTTGTAATAATGTTCATTAATAATAAAAGGCATTTTATTCTATATCGCATAAATCATTATTATTGCAATATGTATTGATATATGTCCTTAGAATGGTAGAACCGTGATAAGGGTATCAAGTGTTTCGAATCTTGATAGTGAGAACCCTATGAGCACATAAGGTGGCCATTCTAGAAACGTCTGTAGCCCCAGTATTATTTTTAAGTAAGGGCACAGATAATACGATAAGGCTATCATAGTGTTGAACGACTCTATCAAAAGGCAGTGACTGATCTCACTTGTCAAGGTTGTTTGGTGACAACCTGGTGCAACACATGGGTGCTTGCTGTAGGTGAATACACCGCAGTAAGTTCACTGGACTAACCCACCAGAGGTTTCCATATGGATGGTAACCCTAGTGTCTATGGAATAAATCCTTTAACAAATGGTGGTACATGTGATCCTTAGACTTGAGATCACCGGAGCACCTTGTGCAACAATTGGTGTAGTTTGACACTAGCCTAACGCAGTTCTTTTCAGAGCTGTCAATACAGTAGTGATTGGCTGCATCGAGGAGTGTATCAAGACTACGGTAGATTGACAGAGGATCCATCACTCCCGGGTACAGGAGAAGTTATCTCACGGCGTAATTCAGTATATGGCAATGACACTAAAATTGTGACCATAGTGGGATTGAGTTGCTGCTCTATCCAGATTATAATACAGGTCATTGGTCCAGAAACTAAATATATAATTTTAAGAGTAACCAAAGGTTGACACTTTTTCTATGCCTTCGTCTCGTCGAGATAACGAATGATGAAAAGATCGAATTGTACGGTAACCATATCGTTGACAGGTAACTACTTTGCTGAATCTGAATCTATCGGGTGGCCATGATGCCTTGCTAGGGGCCAATCTTGGTCTGTGTATTAGTGAGATGATTAATTGGTGTTAATTACGATAATATCCACTGCCGGTATGATGAGGAGCCTATGGGTCACACACATAGAAGATAATTTAAGACTGGAGAAGAAAGAAGGGCGTTTTCGTCTTTTTAGGCAAAATGGTATTTTGGTAATTTCACAGTGCAATTAAAAATTTGTTGAGGTCGTAGCCTTTATTTAATTTATTAGAAAAATTAAATAAGTGAAATTACATTTAAATATGTGTTCGCATATATTTAATTAAATCATCATTATTGTTAAATGTTAATATATAGATTAAATATATATTAATTGATTTTAACTGAGATAATGATGAAATAAAAATAAAATATCTAATTGGGAGTGTTTGGTAACATGGGGTGTTTGGGTTGGAGCCCAAGCCTATTCCATATGGGAATAGGGCACTTAATTTTTAATATAAAAGAAAAGTTAATTGTAAAATGTGTGTGTGTTAATTTTATCATTCACTTTTCTTTGAAAAAAAAAAACACAAACATAGCAGCCCCATTTCCTCTCCGACGGCAC